GGGTCCAGCAAAGGGCGGGCTGCGGGCGGGGCCGGCTGCGATTGGTGCGGGATGCCTGGCTCTGAGGAAGGGGGCGGATTTTTCGTAGACCGAGGGTGGGGATGCGAGGCCCTCTAGAGCTGGCAAGGAATCGGTCCTCGGAACTTCACGGAGTTGGGTGGGTAGGGTGCAGCAGGCGTGTCTTCATCACTTGTTAAAGTTAGTGAACCTAGTAAACTTGTTTTTGGGTCTGCTAAACCTGGGAGGCTATCAGACCACCTAAAATCTCCCTTTTCTTTCTCTGGGTTGCAGAAAGTAAAAAGCAGTGGATTGCCAAGTCTACTCTTTTGTCTAGGCTGTTTCCCTCAGATGGACCCCCTCTGTAGTCAGTCGAGGCTCAACCATCCTTCTCTGGTCTGCTGCAAAGCATTGTCCTGGAGGCAGCCATCCTGGAATCCAGCCTGAGGCCAGGAGACCAGGATTGAGCGGGAGAGAAAGGGAGACAGACAGGACACCACTGGATTTGTGGAAACAAGTCACTATGATTTTTGTTTTATATATATATGTATATGTTTTCCCATTATGGGGGATCGAACTCAGGACCTTCAGTTTGCGAGGCAGGCATGGTGCCATTGAGCTAAATCCCCACCCCGTTTGTTATTTTTTGAGACAGGGACTCCCATTGTAGTGAAGGCTGGCTTTTAACTGTGTAGTCCAGGCTGACCTCAAATTCAGAGGGATCTTACAGCGTCAACCTCCCAAGTACTGGGATTACAGGCCTGTGCCACTATGCCCAGCTAAAAGTCTCTGTGATTTTATGACCTGTCCCTTCCATGATGTCCACCTATGTCAATGGCTTTCTTACCTGAGATGTCCCACCTCTGGTAACCTGTCCCCACTGAGTAGTGGCTGAAACCCTAGCGATGAGCAAAAATAGAGTGGAAGCAGTAGTCTTTTTAGCTGAACATTTCAAATTATTTTTTCCTTGCAGTACTAGGTTTAAACCCAGAGCCTCTGCACTGAACTGCATTCCCAACCATTTTTATTTTTTATTTTGAGATAGGGTTTCACTAAATTGCTGAGCTGCCCAGCTGGAATCCAACTTGCCCTCCTCCCTTATCCTCCCAGGGTGTTGGGATTACAGGTGTGCTCCATCACGCCTGCCTTTCAAATCTTTTTGATCTGCTTTCCAGAAGGTCCACGTAACCCCAGTCTCTCTCTCTCTTTTTTTTTTTTTTTTTCCTCTATGAGGAATGGAACTCAGGATCTTGCACTTACCAGGCAGGTATGGTGCTACTGAGCTACATCCCTGGCCCCCCAGTCTTAATTGGACATTTGAAGGGTCGGCCAAGAACTGCCCAGGAATGTGTCCTGTGGGACCCAGTGCCATGAACCCAGGAAACCCCATCCCAAAGCCAGGCAAGGCTCCCAAAGCTAGGCAGGGAGCTTGCCAGAAATACTGGCTGGCCCACAGTCCACTGTTGAACACAGCCCCACTCCTTAGAACTTGCCACACTACCTTATTCCAGCTCCCAGTTTGCAGGCTGTCTGCTCTCCCCAGAATGTCTGTCTATCCTTATGTGTCTCCCATGTTTTGGCCTGTAATCTTCCAGCTCTCCTAGGGTTCCTCTGGTCCAAGCCAAAGTTCAAGCAGGCCTTGCCATGGGCATGCAACAGGGCAAAACCACGGAATGGCCCACTAGGGTCACAGACAGAAATATGCTCTATATACTCACCCACAGGCCTAGCCTCCAACATGCCCCGGATCCGGAGGACACACTATAAATGTGGAAGGACACAGCCAGAAACACACTCTGACAATGTACAGACTGCAAGCACAATTCAGAGGCCGACCCCCACCCCAGCTGGAGAGCTTTGCTCTTCAGCCTCCCCTGCCCGCTCCTAGCAACAGCTAACAGCTCTCTCAGTTGCCAAGCAACAGAAAGAACAGGCAGCCCCTCGGAGGCCCAACTCTAGGGAGGTGGGCAGGACTCAGACCCCAGTCTACGGAGGTGGGGCAGGTTGAAGCCATGAGGTGCCATGACCTCCAGTCACAAACAGAACTGTGGTTCTAGCACTCTTCCCACTAATCAGCTGTGCCTTTCAGTCCAGTGCTCTTTCCTCCTAGGAAGTCCAGCAACCCGTTTCCAACCCTCGAGCTCCTCCATAGGAATCACTAGGGCTATGGCAAGGACTCTGCTTGCCAATCCAGTCACACACCTTCCACAGCAGGGGCTCAGAACCCCACAGGTCATCTCCAGCCCAACCTCTTCTCATTGCCAGCCCCACGTGCACCACTGCTCTGCAGTTCTGAGACAACCTGGGCCTGTTAAATCCAGGCTGCCCGGAACTGAGTACCCCACACACTGGTTCCAGCTCCTAGGTTCACCACCATTTCATGGCCCTTCTACCAGCTAAAACCCTGACCTTTCACCCCTACCCCTAAAAACTATTAGCACCCCATTCCCCTTCCAATCTGTCCCTGTTCTGTGTCACTCCCTTTTCATGTTTTAGACCTCTGGCCTTCTCCCTGCCTCCCCTAAATCCATCTCCCACTTGGAGCCAAATTGATTTACCTAAAGAAACTGCATTACTCCAATCTCTGACTCCCCAGTGCCCTGAGGATAAAGCCCATATACACTGGTTTGGACTGCACGGAGGCAGAGGCAGTGGAGTGTCTGTTAGGAGTGAGGACTCTGGGAAGTAATATATAAATTTGCTGCCTGTGTGTTACTTTGGATAAGTACCAGAAACTTCCTGTGCCTCAGTTTTCTTACCAGTAAAATGGGTCTAACAGCTATACCTACTGAATGCACAGGCTGAGGAGTTGGGAGTGAGACTGGCGATAAGAAAATGTGTAGGCTGGGAGTGATGGTGCACACATGTGTAATCTCAGCTATTTGGGAAGCTGAGGCAGGAGGATCACAAGTTTGAGGCCAGAATTGGCAAATTAGCAATACCCTAAAAATGCAAAAAAGAAAATGTTCAGAATGTATAAGGCCCATAAAAAGCCCTCAATAGGGTGAGTTGATTTCTATAAGTAGGGAGTACACATCTAAATCCCAGTATTGTGGATAGGTAAATTACTTAGGTATCTTGTAGGCAGTTAGACTGGGCTGCCCTCAAGGAGCCAACCCAGCAAGGAGCCAACTTGGAAGACAATAAGGACACATTCACTGTGCCCAGAATTGTAAAAGGAGAGAAACTATTACACCCTCGTGCTTCCTCTGGGGATAAAGAGCAGTGATTGATATTCTAAATAAGTATCAAGCACCTGGGTGGGAGGCCAGGGTCTTTACCCAGCTTTTCCAGGAAATATTCCTGACCCCTACCCTTACTGAAAATCCTTGTATATGCTTGCTATGTGACTTGCTCCCCCATTTGACCCCCATTTAATCAATATTACCTGGGTAACTGTACTTACCTTATTGGTTGGTCATGGTTTTACCCCACCTCGTGCCCACCTTGTAATTTTCCATCGGGTCATTTTTGGTTTTTGTTTTTGAAACAGGGTCTCACTATGTAGTTGAGACTGACCTGTAACTCACTATGTAGCCCAGGCTGGTTTGGAACTCACAGCAATCCTGCCTCAGCCTCCTAAATGCTGGGATTACAGTGAGCCACCACACCTGGCTCCATTGGGTCTAATAATTTTGTCCGGCTTTGTACCCGCCTCACCATGTGGCTTTGTTGTATAAAACGTCTTGGAGAAGTGGGGTGAGGGGCAACCCACTTTGTGGTCCCCCTTCTATCTCTCTTAGACAGAAGCTTTCTTTCCCTCAATAAATTTTTCCTACTCTTAACCTCTGTTGTTCCTAGAATTCATTCTTCCATTTTAGAGAACACGAACTCACATTTCAGGTATTCAGCAGGTTTGGGAGTTACATCTCTTCCCCCTGTATCACCAGCAATATTGGATGCTGAAGCAGGAGGACTGCAAGTTTGAGCAAAGCCTAGGTAACTAAGTTATTTAGCCAGACCTTGCCTTAAAATAAAAAGTGCTGGGGATGTAGCTGAGTACAAAGACCCTGTGTTCAGTCCTTGATACAGTGAAAATAAAACAGAACAAAAAACAAACAGAAGGGAGAAACTAATGGTGCCTGGAAACATCAGGAAGCCAGCCTTCTTTTCTTTTTGAAACTTTAAACATTTATTTATTTATTTATTTATTTATTTGGTGCCAGGGATTGAACTCTGGTCCTTGTGCTTGTGAGGCAGGCGTGGAACCTCTGAGCTAAATCCCCAGCCCAAAATTTTTAATTTATTTTTTTGGTACTGGAGATTAAACTCGGGTCCTTGCGCTTCCAAGGCAGGCCACAGAACTGCTGAGCTAAAGCCCCAGCCCCAAAATTTTTATTTAAAAAAATTTTTTTTAAAACTTATTTTTTTCCTGCCAGGGATTGAACTCCCAACCTTGTGCTTGTGAGGCAGATGGTGAAACCACTAAGCTCTAAATCCTGGCCCTTAAAATTTTTTTAATGTTGTTAACAGACCAACCACTACATCCTGTGTTGAGTCTACAACTATGTTATCTTTACTACCTTGTAAACAAAACAGAAGACTCCCACACCTATGTGACACTTTGTTTTAACTAAACTATATAAAACTGCTCCTATCCCCACTGACTTAACAAAGTTTCACTTGTGCTTCCCACTCCAAGCCCTCCCCAAATAAAAGAGCTCTTCAAAAGACACTACACACTGCCTCTCCTTTGTCCAGAGTTTTTGGAGGCTGAGAC